ATGAAAGTATTTTCTTTTTGGGGATTTTCTTTCTTTTTTGGGTCACCCTGCCTCGGTGGGAGACGGCCGACTTGTTGAAAAAAAAAAAAAAAAAAAAAAAAAAAAATAATAATAATATCTTTATTTACTACACGTACATGTACAAGGTATACAGGCCTAGCTGACATCAGTGACATACTACTGTATAGAAAGCCGCTTCTTATGCTGAGTATTTCAAGAAAATTAGGTCAGTGTCCCAGGATAACACCCACACTAGTCGACTAACACCCAGGTACCCATTTACTGATGGGTAAACATAGACAACAGGTGTAAAGAAATACGCCTAATGTTTCTACCCTGGCTGGGAATCGAATATTTACCAAAAATCATATATGGCTAACCCAAGTCAGGTGCTAAAAATAAGCCACATTGACTTTTTTGGGTTATCCTAGGTTCTCTACACATATGCTGCTATGTGTGATACTCTGTATAGAGAAAATAACTTTTGTTTCATGTTTATGGTGCAGTCCGAGTGTATATGACAGTTAGCCCTGTGCTATACTCTGTTTTCTCTAATATAAGCCACCAAGATAAGGATAGGAGAATGGTATTTGTATACCATATCCTCTTCATACCTCCGTCGAACTGCTCAGTGTTATGCCAAATATTATTTATTCTGGAGTATTTAACATGTTTTATGTTATTTATATTGTTTAATATGTCATATTAGATCAATTGTGATAGGCAAATAAGCTGTAGTGTTGATATTAGCATAATAATAAAGCATATTCTCCTGCTTCATGAGACTGAGCTCATGGCAACTGACAGTGGCTTCAAAGCCACCTTATCTTTAATGGATAATGTACTGTGTAGGTGCTTTACATAATGAGAAGCATTTCTTTTATTCATTGGAACCATGGCTAGGGCTAAAAGTAAGCAGGTTAAAACAATAAATGGATAAAAAGAAATTGGAATGACTTATGCAGCAAGTAGCACCACCAAACAGTACCAGCAGGATGGTGTGGCGACCCTGGAAATTTGAAATTATGCTAGCCAAAATTAGTGCCGAATAACTGGTTGCCGGATTTGTGATGGCAGACTTGTAACTTGAAGCAGTAGATGTCTAATGAATAGTAGAGCTTGTAAAGCCTACATGTGGAGGTAGTGGAAAATGAGTAAGCAGAGGATTGGAATGCTGCATATGCGTGTCCATATCACACTGTTTACCTGGAGTTTACCTGGAGAGAGTTTCGGGGGTCAACGCCCCCGCGGCCCGGTCTGTGACCAGGCCTCCTGGTGGATCAGCGCCTGATCAACCAGGCTGTTGCTGCTTGCTGCACGCAAACCAACGTACGAGCCACAGCCCGGCTGATCAGGAACTGACTTTAGGTGCTTGTCCACCTAAAGGGCCCAAAATATGGAATTCATTACCAGAAGATATTAAAGTAACCCAGTCTGAAAATCAATTTAAGACTCTTCTCAAAAGCCACTTAATCACCCTAGACTAAATGCTAAATACTCAGTACACACATACTTATGTACTCTGACATTATAACTTCAAGAATCACTTTGAACCTTTTATCCATTGTTGACAGGATTATAATTGAATTATTGTTTTCCACAAAAAGCATTTTAGATTATATGAATACTATATCTTTTGTCTTATACAAATTTTGATTCATTTATCATTAATAATCTACTGTACAACTGAAATAATTACTATCCTACTGTACAACTATGATATAATCCTTAGTGTTAAATAGTCTGTAAGTTGGCCCATAATGCCTAGGCAAAATAGAGGCTCTCTTTGCATTGCAACCCACTATTGTAAATACAAAATCTCAATGTACTGTTTGCAAAGACATAAAATAAATAAATAAATAAATAAATAAATAGAAGGTTAACAAAAGTGTGAAGGACTGATAGGAGGTGGATCAGTGTCCATTATGGTTTTTGTCTCCTCAATATATCAAGCATTTCAGATGGCAAGGAAGTTGCAGGTAGTACAAAATCAGAGATAGAAGATGGAGGTTGAGTGAACATCAGAGGGACAATGGGAGTTACCATAAAAGGGGAGGTTAGAGCTAACTTGAAAGAAACTTGGGAGGGTACAGGAGAGTAAGGAACTTGAGAGGGGCCAGGAGTGATAGGAACTTGAGTGGGGACAGATACATTATGAGGTAAAGTACTGGGCTCAGAGACTGGAAAAGGAAAATGTTTTGGAAGGAAGAGATGAAGGGGCTAAATGAGATTTGAACTCTGATTTTTTTTAAACTTTGAAGACATAGTGATGCAAGGTGATAGTGTAGTTGTGGGAGGTTGTGTAGATATAGAAACATGCAAGTGAGAAGATGAAGACACAAGAACAGTTAGAGTCGATGAGGCAGGAACCTCGGAGTCCAAGGCATTCTGCCATGGACCTGCAATATTTTTCTGGCTCGCCAAAGCACCAGCAATTTCTACATTGTGGTGGTGTAGGGATCAATTCCCGTACTTGTAAATGGTGTACCACAATATAAACTAAGGCTAGAAGCTCACGAGTCAAAAGTTAACCAAACTATATTGCAGGGAAAGCATCTACAACCGCACGTAGGGTATACATAAGTATTCACTTTAAGAATTGGAAGGCCTTGGAGCCCAAGTTTCTCCTTAATATCAGCATCACATGTCAGGAAATCAAGCTGAACAATGGTACCACTGCACGACTTGAGAGAAATGTGTTTATAAATCATGACAGGAATATCGTCGGTGGTGGTAAGAATGGAAAGACTGAGCCTGTCCAGCATTTTGCACAATGACGATGCATGTACCATTCTTAAGAACATGAAATATTTTGACCAATATGGTGCAGGAGTGACTTGCTGATACTATGATCATAAACATAGTGAAAGATGTCAGTTAAAGAGCAAAAAACTTAGTCCATTGTGTAAGGGAAGTGAGCATCCTGTTGGTCTTGTCTGTGAAGAACAAAAGGTCATCAAGACAATGTCATCCGTTAATGGTCATGGTCATTAATGCGTGGGACCGGAGATGGTCTGTTGTGAGATGTGCGGGCAATCTGAAAATCATCGTACTGTAGAGGAAGAAGCTGGAAGCATAATGAAAGACGTGCAGATGCAGGCTCTATCAAAAGAGTTGGGCATAACCACGGCACCAAGGGCAAGGAACGAAATGTTACCTGCAGAAGGCACCAAGGTATTAGAGAGGCCCAAAGAATGGTCAAATAACGAGTGAGGGTTGTGAGATGGCGCTGCAGCAGAAAGGGGTCCAGGAGGGAGTTTCATGAATCCAGGACTCTTTGGTAATGTTTTTTTCTTTAAAAATAAAGTAAAAAAAGTTATAAAAAAAAAGGTATAAAACAAAACAGTGGAACATGGAGAGATAGCTCCTAGGAGGAATGAAAGGGATTGTAAATCTCCCTACATGCCCAAGAGAGCCCTCAGTGCAGCCAGTAGAGCAGATGTGTTATGGAATTCATGCCATACCCTACCCTTCAAGTCTATAAACCGGCAATCCAGGATAGCAACCTCACATCCACTGTGTCACCTCAGTCGACAAAAGAGAGGACAGTGAGAACCCACCATAAGACATACCTCCTTCGGCCACCATCTTCACAGAACCGACAGTCAACCTACTGAGATACACCCATCACCCAAAAGACATCGTAAACTGCCCTACAGGACTCCAGAGGAAGATAGAGACATCCCCTGATGATCCAGACTCCATGGGAACCTACACCACCACCAAGGACCTCAATGGAATGGGATGGACAACAAACATCTTTCCCCAACCTAGAAGCTAGAATTTCTTAGGGAAGGAGCACAAAGATCAAATGGAGGAAAGGAAGGAGATGGGAGGGATAGAGATTATTATTATAATAAAAAAGAAGTGCTAAACCAAAGGGATATACAGCACTGCAGGGCAGAGAAAGATGTGAGGGTATCAGGTAGCAAGAGGGAGAGGGAGGTTATGGAGTACAACGGGGCAGTGGATAGTGCAGGGGTAGAGGGTAGCAAGAGATTAAGGAAGGAAGGGCTGAGGGGAGTGCTAAAGGTATCATCATCAGAATTTGTGGAGTAAATCAGTTGTTGTCAAAAAGTCAATGAGAGAGTCCAGATTAAAGGAAGGTTCATTAGCAAGAAGGGAAGGTAAAGGAAGAGCAGCAGAGCGGAGATGACGTTGGAGGTAAATTCGGCATGCTTGTTGATAGAGTGGGCAGTCCAACAGAATGTGGCTAACTGATACTGGAACCTGGCAATTCTCAGAGAGGAACAGGGCGCCTCTCCATGAGTAAGACGAGTGTGGCTGATGCGAAGACGAGAGAGAGTAGTCTCCCAACCCGGACACTGATGACAAGAAGACGGCCAGTAACCTATACTCGGTTTGTTACAGGGCAGATCAGACCAACGTTGTTGCCAATGGGTGCGAAGGTGGGAAGCAATTACAGCAAAATAATCCATGAATGGAACACCTCTAGGAGGGATAGGGAATATAGGTGGGAAGGAAAAGGAGAGAGGGGGAGTGTATGAGAGGATTAGAGGCGGTTAGGTTCTGCCAGAGAAAGACCGAAAGGTCCTATTTCTCTTTACGACTTTAAGAAACTTCCCCCCCCTCCCCCTCCTCTTGAAGAAGCCATTTTTTACATCAAAATGGTATGGAATCATTTTACAAAACTACATTATATATGCTTTAATGCAGGTAAAGGGCTCTTAATCCAAGGATTTAGATTCAACCTCCCCTTGCTTGAACTAAATCTGAATGCACCATGTTCCACATTAGTTTAATGATGGATTTTGTGGAATAAATGGAGAATGTCTCTTAACGCTGACTTTAAACTATTAGTGTTGATATGCTTTCCCTCAGTGGAAACTTTGTCTTCCTTTCAGGTTGAATAAGTTATAATTTGCCAAGTTTATAAATCAAATTGCTTTCTGTGAAATAACTGGAAAATGTCTCTTTTTATCAGAAATAAATCAAATGTTTGACTTAATTGTAAAATGTTGCCACAATAAAATGTTACATTAGTTGCATCAGTTTCCATTTACCTAACAAAGTTGGAGAACTTTAGTGGAAAATTTGATTTAGTTTAGGACAGAATATCTCTTAATTTGCCATTTTTAATAACAACAAAATTATGATATTAGTGTCCATGTGATAAACTGTTAATACCGTATCTGATTTGCTTCAAATCTTCAATGTAAATACTTAACTGCATTAGAAACTTATGCCACACTCAGCATTAAACTTTTAGTGTGCATTTGACATACAGTGACCTGGAGTAATGCAAAATAGAGATTCCTTTTCTGGATCGTTCAGTGACTGAAATATATCTAGATATTAATTTAGATTTATGTTTTACGTTCATTTAACATTCAAAACATTTTTTAGCATCCTTCAAGTATGGACCTTCATGTGTCTTACTAAAGTGGAGCTTTGTGAAAAATTCTTTAGACATTCAGAACACTGATATGGTTTCTCTCCTGAATGAACCCTCATGTGATCTACTAAGCCAGATCTTTGTGAAAAGTTTTTTAGACACTCAGAACACTGATACGGTTTCTCCCCTGTATGGACCCTCATATGTTTTACTAAATTATACTGCTGTGAAAAGTTCTTTAGACATTCAGAACATTGATATGGTTTCTCTCCTGTATGGACCCTCATGTGTTGTACTAAGCTATATCTTTGTTTAAAGTCCTTTAGACACTCAGAACATTTATATGGTTTCTCTCCTGTATGATCCCTCATGTGTGTTACTAAATGGCGTTTCTGTGAGAATCTCTTCGGACACTCAGAACACTGATATGGTTTCTCTCCAGTATGACTCCTCATGTGTGTTACTAAAGTACATTGCTGTGAAAAGTTTTTTAGGCATTCAGAACATTGATATGGTTTCTCTCCTGTATGGACCCTCATGTGTGTTACTAAATTACATTGCTGTGCAAATTTCTTCAAACACTCAGAGCATTGATATGGTTTCTTTCCAGTATGGCTCCTCATGTGTATTGCTAATTCATTTTTTTGCTTAAAGTTCTTTAGACACTCAGAACAATGATGTGGTCTGTCTCCTGAATGACTCCTCATGTGCTGTACTAAAGCAAATCGCCGTGAAAAGTTCTTCTGACACTCGGAACATTGAAATGGTCTCTCACCTGAATGGCCCCTCATGTGTTCTACTAATTTAATTTTTTGCTTAAAGATCTTCAGACACTCAGAACACTGATGTGGTTTCTCTCCTGAATGACGCATCATATATTTTAGTAGAGTAGAGCGTGAAAAATATTTTTGTTAACACTCACAGTATTGATCTGGTTTCTCTCCTGAACTGTAGCAAGTTCTTCTAGCACTGAGAACTCTAATAAGCTTTTTTTTTATAAATATTTTCTCATACTGCCTGTTAGACATATCATTTGTAAATTAAGACATTGTGCAAAAAAATGACAATTTCCATGTGTGAAGTTCAAATGTATTCCAAAATTCATTTGTTTCTTTATTTGCTTAAAAATTTTTCACATCTTCTATGTAAACAACTTTAAACATAAACATACATTTATCTTCTGTATCTAGATTACTCTGGTCAGAAGAGATGACTCCAAACTAAATGTTCCTGGATTAGAATCCAAGCAGTGCAAGTTTCCTGTTCTCACAGGTAAGAGTCTTTACGGCACACAGTACTAACAATATATATATATATTGAGAGTATTCTTTAACTTAAAATTATGTTGGGTACTGACACTGCAAGTGAACTCACTGCAATGCAATGATGAGCTGAAAAAAGAAAAGGTGAATAATTAGGTTTTAAACTCACATTACGTACTTTCTAAATTTTTTTTTTTTTTTCAACAAGTCAGCCGTCTCCCACCGAGGCAGGGTGACCCAAAAAAGAAAGAAAATCCTCTAAAAGAAAATACTTTCATCATCATTCAACACTTTCACCACACTCACACATCACTGTTTTTGCAGAGGTGCTCAGAATACAACAGTTTAGAAGCATATACGTATAAAGATACACAGCATATCCCTCCAAACTGCCAATATCCCAAACCACTCCTTTAAAGTGCAGGCATTGAACTTCCCATTTCCAGGACTCTCTGACAACTTATGCAATGCATGATCTATTTAAGCTAACATGTTCAAATATAGAAACTACTAAATAACACTAGCTAACAAGTAATTTTCATCAGATATAATTACAGGTTTGACAAGCAGTTCTTGGGGAACTGATTCCAAATTTGATTTTCATTTTTTATAGTATGTCTAATTTTCTTAATGAGATTTATTAAATTTGAAGACACTGTGTTAATAATAATTAAGGCAGTAACCACTCAGATTTGGTTAATCTTATCACTGCTGGAGAAGAAAATCAAATCTGGAAGCAACATTCCTTGGAACTATCTAGCCCACCTACAATGTGGCCAAAAATAAGTAGTAATAAGCAATATGAATTGATAGTACATTGATTAGACATTTCCATAATTAATTTTTAAATTTTGTTAAATATATGTATTTATTTTTTAAATTTTGTTAAATATATATAGTATTATAAGTTTCATTCACATCTTTTTAAGGTGATTATTGATGATTTATACAAATTCTCTCATTGTCAAGATTCAACATATTCTGTTATGGAAGGGGTTCGTTTATAGCTAAATCACAGAGGCATACAATCATAATGAATCTTTGAACAAGTTACATTCATACTTCAGGTGTCCACTAGGCAACCAAGATATGAGCACTGCATGTTACCTGTGCAGCTTGTTCAAATTTATAATGTTGAACCAAAGTAAAACATCCAAGCATTTAAAACCACAGACCGGGTGGGACTTGACCTCGTGGCGAGTCCTAAAACTCACAGGTCAGTGTGTTATCCATTGGGCAATGCCGAACTAATAAGATTCATCCAACTAGATATATTACTGTACACCATTGGGAGGTTAGCATGGGCCTCACTGTGACCACAGCATGAACTAGAGCACACAACAGCCATTCTATAGTCTTGTATTCATCTGCAGAAACCAGCATTTGTGGTCACAGTGGGTCCAATATTTACCTCCCTTCAGTGTATAGCAATATACCTAGTTGGACGAACCTTATTAGGCAAATGTGGTCCACTGAATAACACAATGGCCTGCAAGTTTTAGGACTTGCCTGCCATGGATTTGAGCTCCATACATTCTGTAATTTGTTTGTAATCAAGTTATTACAATTTCATGAGCCATGAATCCATACCTTTTGCTATACCAGTGATATGGAGGGAGCTGAGAGGCCATTGTAGTATTTTGTTACTTTTGTAATGACAACATAGCTAAATTCTCAAAGAAGGACCAACATAAAATCATTTACCTGACACATTGCCAATTCTAGTACCTCCTTTAGAAGACTACATGAATTCCAATGTCAGTGCAACTGGTGGCACTTGGAGACATTTGACTGATATTGACTACAAATTTGAAGAAGAAAACCCAAAGGAGCTGATTACCCAATATCAGTTAAATGACCTCATTAGAGACCTGGCCCTCAGAGAAAAGAAAGTACTTCTCCTCACAACTCAAGCAGATAAAATTAAGATTGTACTAGTGAGTCATTATCAGTAACATTATCAGTTTACTCGTTTACCTGGAGTTTACCTGGAGAGAGTTCCGGGGGTCAACGCCCCCGCGGCCCGGTCTGTGACCAGGCCTCCTGGTGGATCAGAGCCTGATCAACCAGGCTCCTTTCGTTGTCCATTACATAGAACTTTGTCACTGAGGCCAGGGTCCCTGAAGTAGTTATATGTAATGAGCTCAGCTCATTCAGATAAGCTGATAGCAATAAATTTTGCACTAGATATGAGAGATTGGATCTGTGTGGTGAGTGTGCACCACAAAAAAAAAAAAAAAAAAAAAAAAATCTGCCCCATACAGTGTGATGGGAAAAACAAAACTGTGACTCTGTGTGTATTGTTTAAACTAGCAACTTTGGTGGTGTTGTGGAGGTGATGGTTGCAGTGGTGGTGGACGTGGTGATGTTGTTGGTTGTGGTGGTGGTGGTAGTAGTAGTGGTCATGGTGGTGGTTGTGGGGATGGTGGGCAGCGGTGGTGGTGATGGTGGCTGTGGTATTCGTCATGGTGGTGGTCGTGGGGGTGGTGGGAGGCGGTGGTGGTGATGGTGGCTGTGGTATTCGTCGTGGTGGTGGTGCAACAATGGCAGTTTATATGAAGTGGTAGTGACACAAGTCAGAAAGTGGAGTGTAGGGAGGCAATAATAGAGGTAGTCCAGGGACAGGAGAATATAAAAGAAAAAGAAACCCACAAGGGTAGGACCAAAAACACAGTAAAAAAAATCATAGGACAGAGCAGAGGCAGAAGTAAAGGCAAAAAATATATAGGAAAGGAGGAGAGGTGAGAAGAGGTAGGGAGAGGAGGAGATAAAGATCAGGTCAAGTCACGAATGTTCTGATAGATGGAGCATTTGACAATGTAATGAAAAAGAAAGGCATCTACAGAGACAAAGCCAGGACTAAGATTCATATTAGAAAAGTTGAGTGTAAGGGATGCTTAAACAAGAGTGTTTGTAAAGGCTAGAAGAAGGGTAGATTTTGGCAGAAAAACCAGTTAATAGGATGATTATGATCTCTAACCTGACCGAAAAGAACATTATTGGTGTTGGCAAGTCTAACACTTTTGTGTTCTTTAAGTCTGTCAGAAAGAGACCAGCTAGTTTCTCCAAAGTACTGGAGAGGACAAGGGGAACAAGAAATGGAATAGACTATGTAAACAGGAGAAAAGGTATGAACTAGGGTGTTAGTTTGTCAAAAAGTAAGTTTGATGTCTAAGGAACGAAGAGAGTTGTTAAGAGCTGAGAAACTGGAAATATAGGGAGGGAAAAGAATAGGAGATTTCACAGGAGTGGAGAGTTTGTGACACGGAAGAGATTATGAAATTGGAAGGGTAGCCAAGAAACTGAGGGCCACAAATGCAGAGGGCACTACTACTATTATTACTACCAGCACTACCTCTACCACTGCTTCTACCTCCTATTGTTTCCTGGCCCACCCCACTTCCTTCTCATATATAGATAGGAGGGCCACACATTTTTGGCTCCCTCTATTTTGGTTGTTTTCAATTAAGCTGAAATTGCTCATTATATTCGGTGCTTTTTCAATTTTTCTGCAGATTTTGCCATTTTTGCCTAACAGTTGCACAAGGGAAGGGGAACCAGTGCCATATTTTTAATTAAGCATTGTATGTACTGTGTATTTATTTTACTTTTGTACCATTTTTTATGCCTAGCTGTATTGAGCACTTAATAAATGACACTGCAAACACTTAAAATTTTTCATTTATAATCAGGGTTGGGATCCTAACACCCACAAAAATGAAGTCTCTTCCCTCTGTACTGCCTCCCTTTCCTTCGTTCTTTTGTGTCCAAGTCAAACCGAAATGTCGTCGTAAGTTTGAATCTCCTATGAGCAGGTTATTTGTTTAAAAATAGTAATAATAATGATACTGCTTTAAAACAAGTTTCCTAGTTCCCTACCCCTTTCCTTTCAATCAGATAGCCACATCTAAGCCCCACAGTATAGAAATTCTATTACTGCAGCTGTCACTGTTGAATGTTGTTCTGGAACAATGAAGACAAAGTTGTTACTATACATTTTCTTCATGGCTGTGTGCAATACAAATTTATCCAAGTGCATGGTGTGTATAAAAACTGGATGACACTAATTAGTGTAATTTGTAATTACTAACTCCTCTTCAAGGGGGCTCCTTGGTGCAGTGAAGAGGCTCTTAATCTGAAGAATTAGACCTCTTAGTCTCCTTCCTCAGACCGAACCTAATTACCTTCCAATTTCCCCTTCCCTATCCCATCCCCCCTTTTTCCTTACTGCCCCCCCTCCCAACCCTCCCTTTTCCCCATCCCATTTATAGTCTCTGGGGTCTTCCCCTCTGGCATTATGGTTTCTTGATAGGGAGAAATGTGTCAGGGTTCATCCCACTCCATGGGATTCCTCGAGAGTGGTGTAGTTTGCCATGGAATCTGGATCATCTGGAGGCACCCTACTCCCTTCCCGGATTTCCAGGAGGTGGGGCAGGGTGTCTTGCAGGAGATGGGTGAATCTCCAGAGATTGCCTGTTGGTTCTGGGAGATGGCAGCCGAAGGAGGTATGCTTTGTGATGGGTATCCAACCACCCTCTCTTTAGTCTGCCTAGGTGGCTCAGTGGATGTGAGGGTAGGGTATGGCATGGGTTCCACACTGTATCTGCACTGCTGGCGGTGTCAAGATCTTCTTGGATGAGATGAGGAACTTACGGCCCTTTCATGCCTTTTAGTAACTGTCCCTCTTCCTTTTTTTACTTTCCTTCTTTTTTTTTCCTTAAAATAATAAGTACCACCATCATGGAGTTTTCATTTCATGACCCCCCTCCTCCTCCCAGGCCCCTTTTAGTAGCCATGCCCTGTTCAGACCCGGCTTCATTATTGGACCATTCTCCAGATTTTTCACCATACCCCTGTACCTCCTGCTGGTGACACTTCATCACCTGCTCCAGCGCCGATGCTCTGCCCATTTCTTCTTGTGCCTTTGCTCCTTGAATGCTTTTAACTATGCATCCAGCTTCCCCAAACATGGTGTGACAGTTTTTGGATCGCCCAACTGCCTCAGGTCAGGCTGCCCAGTGTCCTATGACTAAATGTTCCAGATCATTTGCTGACAACGATCTTTCAATTTGCTCATTCCACCCAGAAACGACCTACATAATATCCACTTTCTTTACACACCATGTTTACAAGTACGCAGTGGACAAAATTCTTTTCCTTGCAACTGATTATCTTTCAGACCACAATATTGGAAAAGCTCTTTTTATGACACACTGGCCAAAATACATCCTTTCATGCTCTTCAGAGCAGTGCACACATCATTACTGTTCAGAACACAGGGCAAGCTTGTGATCTTTTCCATCTTACTTCCATTGATAACATTCCTATCACAGTTCACAAGCACACTACTCTCAGTTCTTGCAGTGGTATGGTGATCTTACCATGTACGATTGTACAGTATGATTTTCTGTCTTGTATGATTTTCTGTCTTGCGGTGATGATATTTTAGAGCAATTAGCCCTTCAGGACCTTCCAATTCTCAAACTGGATACATATGTCCTGCCTGCTCGCGAGTGGAGGAGCTTTCCCAGTAACATTGCCCGCTTAGCCAATGACTGTCGTGAACTCCCATCCACCATTTACATCACAGACATCACCTAGAGGTTCATAAAGTAGTCCTTACACTCCAACAGTGTCAAAATTGTTGGTGCTTCGGATATCCAGCTAAATACTGCAGGTCTGTGGCAGAGTGGTCAGTCTGTGGTGCTGCGGATCATGCTGATACATCTTGCAGTCTTCCCCCCTCTTGTCTTAATTGCAACAAAACTCACTCTTCTTTTTTCCACCCATGTCAGGTCTATCTTAATGAATGTGAAATCCATTGTCTTAAGGATAGCGAAGGCCTTATGCTATGGCTGTCTCTTGCCTCCACCTTGAGGGAAATCTTCCCTGTGTTCCCCCACCTACAAGTTCCTCCAGTGCCATTTCTTCCAGGGTCACCCCCGTCTCTAATTCTTTTTGCAGTTTTACCCTTTGAAACCCCCCACCTCCTTACCACTTCCTACTTCTACTTTTTCATCTTCTCACCCACTAGTTTCTCAGTCTGCAAGTCCTCACACACCTGCATCTTCTTCGCGCCTATCACCTGCCAAATTAAACCTGTCTCCTAAGCCAAAGTCTCTTCGCATTCCTCCAGTGCTTACAATTTCCCAACAATTTTCCTTTTTGGGCTTGGTGCCTAGTTCTCACCCCCTTTCTAACTCTCACACAAAGAAGGAGGTTCACCCCCCTTGGTGTGGTCCCCTTTTCTGTTTCCCCCCCAGACTTCTTCCCCAGTCCTTGTCCAGCCTCCTTCCTCTCCTGTTCCAATGATGCTCATTGCCTTCGTTACTTTGTCCACTCTCATGACCTTTGGGTTCCTTCTACATATAAGTTGGTCTCAAATGTTAGTAGAAGCCCGTTATTTGATCTGCGCCTCTACTTACTCTGTCTGCTTTCTCTATACGTCTTCACTCCAGTCTTCTCTCCAGTTGCCTCCCTTGTATGTTCATGTAGCATCTGCCTTTTCCCTTTCCCACTGGGAGGTTCTGAAGGTCTGTGTCTGTTCTCCCCTACTGCCATGCACCAAAGCTCTCCTACCTATAGCTGCTTCTCACTCTTTTTCTTGATCACTTCCGGCTATATGCACATGCTATCACTATTTACACAGATGGTTCTAAATTTTCTGACAGTGTTGGGTTCACGGTGGTGTTCCCTGACAATGTTGTCTGGGGTCATTTGTTAGGCTCAGCTAATATTTTTATTGCCGAGTTGTATGTCATCCTCATAGCACTTCTCTGCATTACATGTATGTCTCCTTCGGTATCAGTGATCATTTCGGATTCAGAGTGCATTACAGGCCATTAAACAATTTGATTCACCTCATCCACTGGTCCTTCGTATTCAACTTTGGGTGCACCGTGTAGCTAGCACACTGGACACATTGATGTGTGGGGTAATGAACAGGTGGATGCTGCTACGCAGTCAGCAGTGCATAATTTTCCGGTTTCCTACGGAGGTACAGTGGTCTCTCGATAATCGTTGGGCTTGATAGTTGTCCTTTTCGGAAATCATCGCGTTATTTTCATCCAAACATTGGCTCGCAAATGGTCAGTTGACTCGCTAATCGTTGTTCATCCTAGACACATACTCACAGCTCTAAGCCGCCTTGGCCTCCCTTCCCAACCAGTGTGTCACTGTTTACCAGTGAGCAATGGTCCTCTCACTTGTTCATACAAAATATTTCATAATACATGTATTCCATTCATTTTAGTGCTTGCAAGTGCTAAATAAGCTACCATGGCTCCAAAGAAAGCCCCTAGTGCCAAGCCTTTGGTAAGGAAGGTGAGAAATATGACTGAATTTAAGAAAAACATCATTGAACAATATGAAAGTGGCGTACGTGTGGCTGAACTGGCCAGGATGTATAACAAATCCCGTACAACCATATCTTCCATCGTGGCCAAGAAAAAGGAAATCAAGGAAGCTGTTGTTGTAAGGGGGTAAATATGCTGACAAAAATTAAATCACCAGTACTCGAAGATGTTGAGAAGTTATTATTGGTGTGGATAAATGAGAAACAATTAGCAGGAGATAGTCTTATGACGTCGATTATTTGTGAAAAGGCAAGGCAGCTGCATGACAATCTGGTAAAGAAACTGCCTGCAACGAGTACTGATATTTGTGAATTTAAGGCCAGCAAAGGTTGGTTTGAGAGATTTAAGAACCGTAGAGGCATACACAGTGTGATAAGGCATGGTGAGGCTGCCAGTTCGGACAAAATTGCAGCTACAAAATTCGTAAGTGAATTCAGGGAGTACATAGAGGCTGAAGGACTGAAACCTGAACAAGTGTTCAATTGTGATGAAACAGGCCTCTTTTGGAAGAAAATGCCAAAGAGGACCTACATTACTCGGGAGGAAAAGGGACTGCCAGGACACAAGCCTATGAAAGACAGGCTGACGCTCATGTTCTGTGCTAATGCTAGTGGGGATTTCAAAGTGAAGCCGTTACTAGTGTACCATTTTGAAAATCCCAGAGTGTTCAGGAAAAACAATGTTATGAAGAGTAAATTGTGTGTTCTGGGGATCTAATAATAAGGCCTGGGTCACAAGGGAAATTTTCGTCGAGTGGTTCAACGAAGTGTTTGGCCCTAGTGTAAAGAATTACCTCCTGGAAAAGATACTGGATCTCAAGTGCCTCCAATAATGGACAATGCACCTGCTCATCCTCCAAACTTGGATGACCTAATTCTCCGGGAGTTTAAGTTCATCACAGTAAAGTTCTTGCCTCCGAATACCACTCCTCTCCTCCAGCCCATGGACCTGCAGGTCATTTCAAACTTTAAAAAAACTCTACACCAAAGCAATGTTTCAAAGGTGCTTTAATGTGACCTCAGACACTCACTTGGCCATAAGAGATTTTTGGAAAGAACACTTCAGTATCCTCCATTGCATAAGCCTTATAGGTAAGGCTTGGGAAGGAGTGACTACCAGGACTTTGAATTCTGCTTGGAGAAAATTGTAGCCAGATTGTGTCCACAAGAGGGATTTTGAAGGGTTTGTGGCTGACCCAGATGAGCCTATGTCAGTTGTGAACTCTATTGTGGCACTGGGGAGTTCCATGGGGTTGGATGTGAGTTTGGAGGATGTGGAAGAGTTGGTGGAGGACCACAACGAAGAGCTAACCACTGAGGAGCTGCAAGAGCTTCAGCAGGAACAGCAACAGATTGCAGCTCAAAATCTTGCTGCAGAGGAGGAGGAAGAGAGATGGAAGAAGGTGCCTTCTTCAGAAATTAAGGAGATTTTTGAAATGTGGGGTAGGATGGAAAGATTTATGGAGAACATCACCCTGAGAAAGATGTTGCAAGCCACATCGGCAACTTGTACAGTGACAGAGTCTTGGACCATTTTAGGGAAGTTTTAAAGAGACGCCAGAAACAGAGCTCTCTGGACACTTTTTTGCGAGACAGGACTCCAGTGACTCTCAAGCTGGTCCTAGTGGCATTAAGAAACAGAGAAGAATAGTAACCCCAGAAAAGGACTTGGTACCTGAGGTGTTGATGGAAGGGGATTCCCCTTCCAAACAGTAACTAATCCAATCTCTCTCCTCCTCCAGTCTTCCATATACAGTGGTCCCTCAATAATCGTCCATAATCCGTTC